AACAAGCATACTGTATGTGCTCAAGTATAAACAAGCATACTGTATGTGCTCGAGTATAAACAAGCATACTGTATGTGCTCGAGTATAAACAAGCATACTGTATGTGCTCGAGTATAAACAAGCATACTGTATGTGCTCGAGTATAAAACAAGCATACTGTATGTGCTCGAGTATAAACAAGCATACTGTATGTGCTCGAGTATAAACAAGCATACTGTATGTGCTCGAGTATAAGCCAGCACAAATATCAGCCGCGGCACTTAATTTTACCACAAAAACTGCATTAAAAATGCGCCAAAAATCTCAGCTTATACTTGAGTATATATGATTAACGTACATCATAGAGAAAAAAAACTAGTAAGCGTGTCTTCATTAAAATTTAATACACCTGTGCATTGAAAGTTGCCACAGCCAAAGTGTGAGCCAAAGTAATAAACCCAAGTGGAACAAAAGATGCCAGGCCATACAGAGCGGGAGAAAATATTTGGGGGTTTATTAAAATGAAATAAGATTTATATAGAGAATTTATATTTTTAAAAATGTGATAATCATGAAGAAAAAGACAATTCAACTGAAAAATGGCCAAAGATATGAAGAAGTGATTCCAAAAACAAGCAAACATGGAAAGATGTTTCCCTCCTCTGTGATGGGGAGAGGTGGGAAGAGATGAGTTAAGAAACTAACAGACATGGAAGATGAAATACAATTTTAGACGCACTGTTGGAAAATTATAGTATGACCACAGCACGTATTGGTGAAAACACAGAACAAGAGGAAGTTTTCATCCATTGCTGATAGGAATGTCTATTGATTCATTTATTTCTTAAGGCATTTTGGCAAATTTTCTAGTTAAAATGTGAAAACAAGTATCCAATTCACTCTAAAAAGTCCAATTCTTGTTATAGTCTAGAGCAGTGCTTACAAACACGCCCAAGGAGACCTTAGCAGGACTATTCATTGAAGTTTTATTTTTTCATTGAAGTATTTTTATAATGTAATAGAAAACAACTGCAGGCAATTTAAATGTCCCATCAATATTCTCACTTATGATCTACTGATGCCATAGACTGCTGTGCAGTTAAAATTAATGAACAGAAGCTGACCATAAAAACATGGATAAATCTCAAAAGCATAATGTCCAGGTTTGAAAAAGCAAGTTGCAAGAGAGTGTACACAGGATGATTCCATTGTATACCAAAGCCACTCAAAGCGATATGCACATACGTATGTAGTCATGGTACGCAATGTTCCCTGGGAGTGATACTCTCATTTCAGATTGTGTGATGTACCCAATGGAATAGGGGTGGGATCCAGGAAAAATAGACAGGATTTCAATTCCATCTGTAACGCTTTTGTTATTGTTATTTTCATTGGGAGTAGCAGTGGTGATGGTTGTTGTTTTAAAATCAAGTAAATATGGCCAATGTGAAGATTTCACAAAACTGGGTTCTCTATACTTTTCCTCATGATTCCACAATTTTAATAACTGATACCTTTTGGAATGAGTAAATCAACTCTGAATTGAGCAACCCAGTAAACCGAACCAAGGCACTTGGAGGCTGTACCTTTCCTGATGTCCTTCAGCATGAAGAGGGGAATTGGACAGTGATGGTTCTGATTCCGCACAATCATGTGCAGGCAGAGTAACACTGCTCTACTAGGTATTGAAGGTTGCAACCTTCCAGAAGCAGCGTCCCAGGCCTGTTTCTGAGTCACCTCAGGTGGGTTTGACCCACAAACCTTTTGGCTGGTAGTCATGTGCTTAATCACTTGTACCACCAAGGTGGCTGAATTCCAAAGTACTCACCAACTCCTCCGATTGCCTGGTGAATAACTTTAGCATCCGCTGCTGCGCTAAAGCCTGGATAATCTCGAATCGTCTGTCCGTGTCCAACCTAGAAGGAAACATTTGAACATTCCACCAGTTTAAAAGGATATCTTTTTAATATTGTATATACATAGTCTATATCTGACAAACCTAGAATATGCACACCTTCTTACCAGCTTAGAATCCATGGAAGATGATCCTCTCCCAGGTATGCTGCCAACATAACATCTTTGTTGCTGTTGGCTCCCATCAAGTCGTCTCCCAATTCACGCTGACCCCATGCACAATGTAGTCAAACCCTGCCCAGTGCTGGGCCGTATGTACTGTGCCATGCCCAAGAACAGTTGCATGTGAAACTATTGTGACCCGTAGGATTTTCAGAAACTGAAAAACAGACCTTTATTCCTAGCTGATCTGCATTTGGAAACGCCACTGAAACCTGTTCAGCATCACAGCAATGCACATCCTCTAGTGATAAGACTGTGGAATGTAAGAAACCTGCCACTGAAGATAACGTGGCATTTACTACCTGTGCGGTGTAGCCTTTCTCCCTCTGAGGTAACAAATCACAAATATAAAACATTGGCTTTCTAGAGCAGCGTTTCCCAAAGGAAGCGACACCACTCCCTGGGAGACCCTCAAATATCCCGGGCGCCACAAAAGCAGATGCCTACACTTTGTTCTGGATTGCAGGCTCTCTCAGAGTCAACCCCCTGCAATCAGGGCAGTTCTGACTCCTATGGGCTACATAGCACAAAAGTTTCTATTTACCAGGAGGGTGCGGAATATTTTTCCCCCTATAAAGGGGGTAGTAGTGGTGTAGTGTTTACACACTGGGCTGCTAACCTAAGGTGACCAGATGTCCTGCTTTTGGCAGGACGGTCCCAATTTTTGACGTTTTAAAAAAGTCCCAATTTTTGGAAAGAATGGACGACAAGCTAGGGAACGGTCTATTTGGTCCATATAGACCAATTTTTTAATTAAGAAGGGCCTCCCCCAGCCCCCCGCCTGGTCAATGGTGTCCCGCTTTAAATCTGGTCACTCTATGCTAACCACAAGGTCAGCAGTTTGAAGCCACCAGCCAGCCACTCCATGGGAGAAAGATGAGACTTTCTACTCCCACAAAGTCTACAGACTTTCTACGGTCTCAGAAACCCACAGGGGAAGCTCTATCCTGTCCTCTAGGGTCCTTATGAGCGGGAGCCAAATGATGGCAGGGAGTTTGGCTTTCAGTTTTATTCTCTAGAGTAACATATTGTCTGTTGCTGGTTAGTCTAAAGAATATCTGTTTTAAGGTAGCATCTGCATAAAAGCAAGAGAGTTAGCTTTTCCTACATTTTTTCCCATCCCTTTTGTGTTCAAGTGATACTTTAAAGCCCTTCACTGCATTTAACACACAGGGAAATGTGGTTTATACACTTCAGGATATTTTAATTAATACTGGCCATTGTCCTTGGGGAACAGAACACTAAAGAATCTATAAATGAAAACCCCATTAGGATTGTCTACTCTTCAGCTTTGTTTAGTACATGTGCAATTGTGGCCAATGAATTCTCGTCCGAAGCTCCACGGACACCATAGATCTGAGCAGCATGGAGGTGAAAAATGCTCCACCACTACCATGAACACATAAATTACAGACATTTCAGCCAACCGGGAAAGACCAACTACAGAAAGAATAAAAGACTTTAAAATGCACAAGAAAGTATAGAACAAGAGCCATGGAAATGTTGAGGAAAATGTAGTAAAATACGTACTTAAATGATGTTTTACAAAACCATCAACCAACATTATTCTTGAGAAAAACAGAGAGCCTTGCCCTTTAGAACAGAAACAAGACAAATATGCCTATTATCCCTGCTCTTATTTAACAATGACCTGGAGGTCCTAACTGGAGCAACAAAGCAAGGAAGGGCAATGAAGGGGATTCACATGGAAAGAAAGAAGTAAATCTCTATTCACAAATGACATTGTTTATACACAGAAAATCCTAGACATTCCTAAATTAAAAAAAAAAAATTAAGCTACCAGATCCAATAGAAGAATTCAGCAAAGGGGAAATGATGCAAGCAGCATATCAAAGCCAGTTGAAAACTTTTACATTATCAAGAATTCCAAACAAGACATCAAGAAGATAATACAATTAACAACAACAACAACAACAAAACAAATCACCCACAAAATGGGAAAATATTCAGGAATACAATTAACCAGGGATGTACAAGACCTGTTTGGAAAGTTTTTAAACTTACAAAAGAAACTGAAAGAGATAAACATAAATAAACATTGTGTGCTCATGGATTAAAAGATAACATTATGAAAATGTCAGTACTTCCTAAAGCAAGCATTCTACAGATACAATGCGATAGCCATCAAAATTCCAACAGCTGAAATGGACTATCCATCACCTTTATGTGGGAAGGAAAAGGTCATGAAGAGCCGAAAGTAAAATTGAAGGAGGAGGGGAGGCCCTACACTTCTCCTATACACACAATCACAGTAATGAAAATGCCCAGCTACTGGTTAAATGACAAATGTGTCAACAACCACCTATAGATACCCAAAACAGATGGAAAGAATATACAGAGCCACTGTACCAAATAGAACTAGTTGACAGCCACCATTTCAGGAAGCAGCATATAAGCAAGAATCAATAGGGATCATAGAAGAAGTTGAAGTTGCATTGAAAGCTTTAGCCAAAAACAAGGCTCCAGGAATTGATGGAATCCCAATTGAAATGTTTCAACCAGCTGATGAAACACTGGAAGCACTCAATCGTCTATGCTAGGAAATATGGATGACAGTTACTTGGCCAACTGACTGGAAGAGATCCATATTTGCACCCATTCCAAAGAAAGGTGACCCAACAGCATGCTGACTATAGAATAATATCATGCAGGCCAGGGTGTCCTTGCTGCTGTCAGATGGATCTTGGCTGAAAGCAGAGAATACCAGGAAGATGTTTACTTGTGTTTTATTGACTATGCCAGGCATTTGACTGTGGATCGTAACAAACTATGATAACCTGGAGTCGAATGGGAATTCCAGAACACATCATTGCACTTATGAGGAACTTGGGATGGATCAAAAGGCAGTCAGGTGAACAGAACAAAGGAATAGTGCATGATTTAAAATCAGGAAAGGTGTGCTTCACGGTTGTATCCTCTCAGCATGCTTACTCAATTCTGTATGTGGAGCAAATCATCAGAGACGCTCACTTACATGAAGAAGCAAGTGGCATCAGGACTGGAGAGAGGCTTTTTTTTTTTCTTCCAAATTTCATTTGTATTTTTTATTACTTTCTCAGAACCATTTTATTGGGAGCTAATACAGATATCATATCATGCCATAGTTCAATCAAATAAAGCAGTATTGTACAATCGCTACCACAATCAGTTTCTTTCTTTCTTTTTAAAATAATTTTATTAGGGACTCTTACAACTCTTATAATGTTCCATACATCAGTTGTATCTAGCATATTTGTACATATGTTGCCATCATCATTTTCTAAACATTTACTTTCTATTTGAGTCCTTGGTATCAGCTTCTCTTTTTTACCTCCTTGCCCCCACTCCCACCCTCATGACCCCTTGATAATTATAAATTATTATTATTTTCATATCTTACACGGTCCACTGTCTCCCTTCACCCAGGTTTCTGTGGTGTTCATCTCCCTGGGGGGTGGGGGCGAGTATGCATCCATCGGTTCCCCCTTCCTCCCCTCCTTCCCTCAACTCTCCTGGTATTGCTACTTTCATTTTTGCTCCTGAGGGGTTTATCTGACTTGGAGTCCCTGTATCGTGAGCTATTATTTGTACCAGTATACATGCTCCAGCCTAGCCAGGACTGAAAGGCAGGACTGGGGACATGCTAGTGGGGGTGAGGAAGCCTCAAAGCACTAGAGGAACATTGTGTTTCATTGGCGCTGTTTCATGGACAGCAAGGAGACCTCGTGGAATAGTGGATTCTGTGTGGGCTGCCAACAAGGTCAGCAGTCAAAACCACCACTCACTCTGAAGGAGAAAGATGAGGTTTTCTGCTCCTGTAAAGAATGGAACTCCTCGGGAACCCACTGGAGCAGGTCAACTCTGTCCCAGATGGGTGCTGTGAGTCAGAGGGGACTCAACAGCAGTGGGTGTGAATCACAGCATGAGCGTCACTCTGGAATGTGAACGGAATGCACATTCTCAGAGCCAATCCCAGCCTTGCTAAACCTGAACCTCTGGCACTAGAGCCCCATGTCTGTGAGTCTGCTGCACAGTGAGGTTTGGGAACATCCCCTCCAGTCCATTCTCAGCTGCCCAGAGAAGCAAAGCAAACACGCGTTAAGAATCATCCGTGCACTCTTTCATAGGTGCAGGAGAGGAAAAGAATGTGACCATGAGCTCCTGGGTTCAGGGATGCTGACATTTCCACAGCCAAGCTGAGCTGCTTGCATTGCCTACTTATTTCTAAGAGGAATTCCTTAAAAATTAAATGACCAATACTTGTCTGAGTTTATTTCCACTCACCCTAGTGCCTTTTGCATAGTGTCAGTGCTAAGGGAAGACACTTCGCACGATGGGAATACTTGGTGAAAGTCTTATTTTTCAAATCACACTTGCTTAGGTTTCACGTCAAATCCCTTAAACATATTTGGTTGCTTCCATTTTTCTCAAACTTGACCTTCAGATGCTCCAAAGCGGAGCATGATTCTAAACCCAAGTGGGAAATGAGTTTTAAACTCAAGTCTCGGCAAGCCGACCCTGACTCTGATATACCCTCAGCGAATTGCCCCGTGGGTCTGCGGGACTGTTCATCTTTCTGGATGCAGGCAGCCTCCTCTTTCCTCTGATGGGTTTCAGGGACTAACGGGTTTGAAACACTGACCTGGAGGCTAGCTTGCAGCTTACTGGGTAAGCCACTGTCCCTCTGTGGGCCCCTTCAATTAGACAAAGCATGTCAAAATGAAATTGAAAATAATATTAGGAGCTCCTTATAATCATCATCATTGTTGTTACTATTAGGTGCCAAATACTATGCTAAAGACATTTTAGACAGCAGCTCAATCCGCATGATAAACGTTTA